GATTCTGGGAGGGGGCCTGGAGTGTTTGGGGGTCCCAAGGGTCACATGGAAAGGGGTCCCAGCGGTCTGGGGTGGGGTCCCAGGGGCATCCCAGGGTGTCCTGGGGGCCAATGGGTGGACCCAGGGAGTCTTTGGGTTCCTGGGGATCATTCGGGGGTCCCAGAGGGTTCAAGGTGGGTCCCAAGGGGTCAGGGGGAAATTCCCAGTGAATACTTTGGGGGAAAGGGGGGAGTCCCTCAGGGGCTGACGGGGGGAGGAGCAGCCCCTCCCCCAGTGCTGCCCCGGCTCAGGGTCCGGCTGCGGCCGCGCTCCCCCTCCCCCACGGTGACGGAGCCAGTGTGGAGGCGGCCACTGCGGGGACACAGCCACTGGCCTTAAATCGCGCCCCTTCCCCTCCAATCCACGCCCGTCTCTCAGTATACCACACCCCTTTATGTAAACCACACCCATTTCATCCAAACCACGCCCATTCCCTGTTAAAACACCTCCTTTTATGTAAACCACACCCCCTTAATCCAAAACCACACCCTGTCCCAAAAACCACAGCCCCTCCCCAATCCACACCCTCTACCCCATAGGCTGCTCATATTAGTGCATATTAATGAGCCCCTCATGCATATTAATGAGCCCCTCCTGTATTGGGGTTACTCACTGTAGCCCATGCCCTGCAGGAAGTTCTTGACGGCCTCAGTCAGCTGGCTGGGCTGGGGGGAGGGGCATGGTCAGCGCTGACCACCGAATGTTCCCTGGGTGACCTCTCCCACCCCCCACACCCACTGACCCCGGCCGTGACCTCCAGCCCCTCACCTGGGCAATCCGTGGCTGCCCGCCGCCGTCGGCCATCTGCAAGAGAGGTCATCGAGTGATCATCGAGTGGTCACTCGGTGGTCACTCGGTGGTCACTCGGTGGTCATCGGGAAGTCAAACGTCACCTTCAGGAAGGATGTTTGTGTCAGGTCCAGTTTGGCATTGCACTCCACCTTGGGGGAGGGGCCCAGGGGGGTCAAGGGGTCACTCAGGTGTCAGGGGTCTTTGAGGGGTCACTCAGGCAGCACTCATGGGTCAGTGATCACGCAGGGGTCACTCGGGGGTCAGTGGTCAGTGAGGGTCCACTCAGTGGTCACTCACCTCAGGCTCCCGGCCCCGCTCCGCTCCAGGCCCAGGTTGCCCCGGCTAAGGACAATTGGGGGTGGGGAAACACTTTAGCCCCACCCACCATGGCCACACCCCTTTGTGAACCCACCTCCTCCCAGGACACACCCACCCCTTAAACCCTTCCCTCCCCCTTTAGCCACACCTTTTACCCCCTCAGGCCACGCCTCACGGCTGAAACTCCACCCCTAAAGCCACACCCCTCCCACAGCCACGCCCACCCCCCTATATATATATATATAGTGCAGGATGTAAAAACCTTTCTAAACCCAGGAACTCTTTCAACAGCTATACAGGGCACAGTTGCAGAGAGAGTCTTGGGTTTCAGGGCAAAAAACACAAAGTTTTCAGTCTTAAGCATCTGCCACTACGTAACCATTGACAGCAAACACGGCTTCGGTCTCGGGGAGACACGGAGAGTGGGAGAGTCAGAGATTTTACAGATCCTGGTCTCACCTCAGCCTTTCAGCACAGTCTGCAGGGAGAGGAAAGAAAATGGATCAGAACAGACAGCCTGCTTCCAGAAAATCATCATCATCATCATCATTCATAAAGCATCAAGTAGAGTTGTAAGAACTTAGGGGGGTGAGTTTTGTTTCACAGGGAAAAGGACCACCGTTGTGTCACGGCCCATGTTCCAGGGACTGGGCTTCTGCATGATAAAATTCCGAGCGGAGTGGGATTTCTCCCAGACCCAAGCTGCATCCACCTAGGACCCCGTCTGTCTTTGGAGTCCCAATCGTCTCCTCCAATCTGACATCAGGAAACTGGGAATATGAGTTTTGTTTCGCTGGGAAAAAGGTCACTGTGCGTGTCCAGGGGCCTGTGCTTAGGACTGGATTTCTGCCTGGTCAAATGGTAGTTTTGCTGTCTTGCTGTATTCCCAGAAGGGGTGGTTCTCCCCGGGGTATTGAGCTTCCCAAGCTGTGTCACATGCACCTCAGGGTCTCCCAGTGCCTCACGTCCCCTCCCAGCCACCTCAACAGCACCCCAGTGTCTCGGGGACAGCTGACAAGTGGGTGTCCCCTTCTTGTCCCCCATGCCCCCACCTGTATCCCCTCTGTACGTACCCGTGTGTCCCTCTCCTGTCTCCGGATGTCCGCCCGCGCCCATCTCCATCCGCATTCGGGAGCTTCCCATGATGCCCTGCAGAGGGACTACATCTCCCAGCAGTCCCCGCGGCTCCGCGCACGCGCGACAGGGGCGGGGCCTCCGCCGTCTGCTGCGGTCCACGAGCGGTGCGAGCGGAGCGGGGGTGGGTCCGGTGGCTCTTAAAGGGGGCACGGCCTGGGGTGGGGCCCTCTCGGCGCGGGATGGAGCGCGGACCGGCAGAGGAGGTTCTCGGATGGCGGGGCGCGGGCGGAGAGGGTGGCGGGAGCGCGATGGAGTCGCGGGCGTTCCCCGTTCCGCCCCGTCGCCGTTCTCCCGTGGCTTCATCCGCTTTAAGGCCCGGCGGCGGGAACGGGCGGGGGTGGACGGGGGGCCCGGGGGAAACGGCGGGGAGGGGGGCGTGTCTTAACCTGGGCGGGGCTAAGAGGGGCGAGGCCTTGAGAGGTGAGGCCTGGGGACAGTGTGGGTGCCTCCCCGCCCCCCCTTCTGCTGACCCCCTCCATGGCCCTAGGCCACCTCCTGCGTCCCCCCCCCCTATGACATCACTGTGAAGTCCGGAGACCCTAATTCCTCACCCAACGCCCTCCCGATCCCCCCCGTGGTGCCGCACCACTCCTGTGTCTCCCCGCACCATGTCCCCTGTCAGCCCCCCAGCACTTACCCTGTCCGTCCATATCCCCCATGAGCCCCTAGAACTGCCCACCCGTGCAGCAGAGCTATGTCCATGTCCCCTTCCCATGTTTATATGTCACCCCCAGACTCTCCTATGGAGCCGTGAATACCCTAAATTCCCCTCCCTTGACCCCTCCAGACGTACGCCACCCCTGTATCCCCTTCTCCTGTCCCCCTCTGACTCCCCTGTGTGCCCCCAGCCCTTCCCCATAGACTCGGCCCGTGGGGGTCGTTCACAGGCCCCGGAGTGCGTCCGGCGCCAGAAGCGCCGGGAATTGGACGCCAGGCGCAGCAAGTGCCGCATCCGCATCGGGGGGCACCTGGAGCGCTGGTGCCGCCTCAAAGAGCAGCTCGGATTCGCCCTGCACTCCCAGTTGGCCCAGTTCCTCCTTGACAGGTGACAAGGGGGGGGCTCAAAACCCATTAAAACCCACGTCTCATGGGGAAAATCCAGATTTCTGCGTGCTCACCTCTGTCTTTCTGTGCAGGTACAGCTCTCATGGCTGCACCTGGAGCCCGGGTAGGTGCTTCTCTCCCAGTTCCATGTTGGCATCCAGTGGTTCGGGTCCATAAGAAGTTCATGGTGGAGAGGGAGGATTCCTGCTGGGTTGGGTGCTGGAGAAGCACCTGGAGCTGCTCTTGGGTTTGCTCACCCCCCCTGAGCACTAGGCAAATCCTCCCCGTGTTCCCTGTTTTTGGTATCCCTAACTCTTTTTTGGTAAGCTACTTGAGGGTTGCCCTTAACAAGGAGAACCTTAAGAGCCTGAGGAAGATGGAGGGGGCCTTGCAGGTGTCCCACCCTCCCCAAAACAACATTTTGGAGCTGTTTTTCACAGATTTCTTTGTTTTCCCAGGAGAGCTGGAGCGGCTCCAGCCAGCTGCACTGCAGCGCCTGGTTGTGCTGTCCCACGGCCATGGCCAGGAGTGTGGCTTTGTGCCGGACATCCAGCTGCCAGCACCAGGCAGCACAGCCCCGCTGGTTTGGGAGTGCGTGGCCGGGCACCGCTTCTCGTGGGGTGGCTCTGGGGGTCCCAACAGCCCCTCCTGTGACCCCCCAAAAGCGGCTCAGGGATGCAGCCCCTCCCTGGGCGCTGGGCGCCGGCATTTGCTCCGTAGGGCCACGCTGCCCTCCGACGAGGCCGGAGTGGAGGGAATGGCCAGGTCACCCCATGGTGATGGGGATCAGGGCGAGGAGCTGGGAGATGGTGGTGACAGTGGTGGCACAGGTGAGCTCCTCCAGGTCACCCTTCTGCCCTCAACTCCCTTTGATTCCCCACCTTCAGCCCCTTCTCCCAGTTCTAAGATAGTTCCAGTTCCACCACCATCCCACTGGGATCAGACGCTGCCCCAACCTCCATCCTTCCCAACTCTCCATCCTTCTCCTCCTCACCTCTCCCAGCCCTTCCTCACCACCCTCCTGTCCCCTTCCAGCCCCCCAGGTGACACTGGAACCGGGGCCTGTGGCAGCAGCTGGCAAGAGGTGAGTGGTGGCACCCACAAGCATCCCCTGGTGAGGCCAGCGGCTGCATTTGGTCTGACCCATCCTTGGGTGCCAGCACTGGCCAATGTGACTGTCTGTGGTTGAGCCATCACGGCAGAGTTGACCCAGGCTGTTGTCCAGCAGCACCATCCTGGGGGATGATGTAGTGCCAGGAGCTGAGCCCCAAGAGGAAGAGGAGGACGAGGACTTTGCCGAGGGTGATGACCTGGCCTACACCGATGACTTGCGTGATGAGAACTACCACCCATCCCTGGACAGGTGGGAGCACTGTGAGGGAGCCTGCAGATCGGGATTGCATGGCAGCCACTCTGTGGTGCCCACTGACACCGTGCCAGTCCAGACCAATATTGCACTGGGAGGGTTTCAGGCCTCACATCTCTGCCATGTGCTTGTCCTGCTGCAGCTGCCCTGGCAGAGTGGGGAGGAGATTGGAATAGTGTCCATGCGGTGCTAAAATAAGGCGTTTCTGGGGTCAAAAGGCACAGAACTTTGGAGAGGCATTTTCATTGTGTCTTCACCTGGGGGAGGGGCTTTGCCACGTCCAACTAAAGGCCAACCCTGTCATACTACGTCCAGCTGTGTCCAAACCGTGTCCTGCCACGTCTAACCGAGTCTTTCCATGACCAACACATGTCTAACCATGTCCCACTAATTCATTTCCCACCACATCCAACCTGTATCTCAGCCCATCAACCACCCAACCTCCCTCAACCAGCCCGGTCTGTGCCCCCAACAGCAACTCAAAGCCACAGCGACGCCAGAGCCAACCCAAGGCCCGCAAGAAACCAATCAAGGAGGAGCAGCCCCTGCTCGAGCCACCCTTGCCCAGCTCTGGCCCCTTGGAGGAGAAGAGCGGACATGTCAGGTGAGTCATGGCGGCTGCAGCGCTGAAGGGAGGACGGGAAGGTCCAGAGCTGCTGGGGTAAGAGCTGTATGCCTCCAAGGGGAGTGAACCCTCCCCATAACACTCCTGGCCATGGGGCAAACGCTGTGTCTCCAATGGGGGTCAATGCTCCCGATGACACCGCTGACTGTGGGACAAAAGCTGTGTGTGTGTCCCCAGTGGGAATAAACCCTCCCCGTGACACCACTAGCCATGGGGTAAGAGCTGTGTGTCTCCAGTGGGGTCAACCGTCCCCATCACATCACTGGCCTTGGGGCAAGAGCTGTGTGTTCCCAAGGGGGGCGTCAGCCCTCCCCGTGACGCCGTGGACTGCGAGGCAGAGCCCTGTTTCTTGGTCTTGTTGGCTGCTGAGTGAGCAGAGTGGGGTCTGGCTCACCAACATCGCTGCAGGGGCTTCATGAGCCTTGTGTCACACACCCTGTCCCTTGTGGGGCCGGGCCAGGGAGGTCAGGGAACAAGGAGAGGCAGCCAGGACTGGGGCTGCCATGGAAGGGGACAAAGACCCCCTTGAACCAGGCCCGTGGTGGGCGGTGAAGCCTCCACCAGGCTGGAGATGGAACAGCCCAAAATCCACCAATCCCACCACAATCTCCTCCACCGATGGATGCACGCCTTCTCCAGCAGCTTTGGGGCCGAGCGTTGGATTTCCAGCTCTCCTTTCCAGGCATACAAAATTCAGTGTTTTGTGCTAAAAAGGCTCAAATCAGCCCTCAGGGCTTCACTGGGGCTTTGCACAAGCATTTAAAGGACACTGGGTCGGGGCTTGGTCTGTGCACGGCCTCAGATCCAACACACCTAGACAGCTCACCTGGATGGATTTTCTTACACTTTTGATACAATAAAGGGGTAAAATCCCTTTTCTCTGGAATCAGCCATAACTCCTCTGTCTGTCGTCCCCTGAAAGACGAGCTCAGCACCAATCCCATCCCAAAACCTTTCCCCAGGTGAGTGTTGTGCCGCTCCCTTACAGCTTTGATTGATCCCTTTGAGTGGCTCCTTTTGGATGCTGAGCACCCTCCCCTCTTCCCGCAGCTCCGGCACCACCCTGGATGCGGCTGGAGGAGGGACCACGCTTGATGGAGACCCAATCCCAGTGAAGGTAATGCTGGAATTTGCTCTTCCCCTCTCCCTGCCATCACTGGGCATGCAGATCCCAGGCTCCCAAAGGCAATGTGAGGTTAGAAGAGTCTGCGTTCAATCTGGGACTTTCTTTTGGGGGCCAAAAGTGAATTAAATGTGGGTTTTTTTTCTGCTGTTTTTCGGGTTCTGCCTGATTTTCATCCCAAATCCCATGGTCTAGCCCTCCAAATATATCCAAAGTTACACCTGTGGGCTGGTGGCTTTTCGGAGGCACTAGTGGGGGCTTGTAGCTCTCTGCCCCCTCCCCAAAGCCTCAGCTTTCAGGTCAGGCCCTTTTGGGCTGAGTTTGGTGACAAAGATCATTTTTTTTAAATCTTTTTGTTAATTTCCCCCAATCTTTTGTCACAGCGAATCGAAAATAGGAGATAAAATCCTGAGCAAAGCAGGACCTTCCAGATGTCAAAGGGGCTTCCTCCTCTTCTCCCTTCCCCAGGTAAAGCCACCCTAAGCTGATAAAACCTGTTTTCAAGAGATCTGGGACAAGCCCCAGGCTGAATCCATGCCTGAGCATTGGCATCTCTCACCAGCCTATTATTTCTCTTCCCCAAACCCCACTTTAATCCACTTTTAATGGATCTTTCCTTAATTCCAGGGCGACAGCCAGGAATAGTTGCTGTTTCCAGGGAGCTATGGATGAATTATAGATCAAACCAGGCTGGAAGCCAATTTCAGTGTCCTGGGACGTGTCCAAACCATGTGAAAAGGGTTTTGTAACAAGCAATAAAGAATTTATTCTTATTTTAATGCCTGAACGATGTGTTTGTTCCAGCGTGTCCTGCTCCCATGGGGTGCAGATGGGAGAAATGCTGGTCCTGAGGATGATTTAATGTGGGATTACCTCGGGAATCTTGGCTCGGGGACTGGGGACAGCGAGGGGACACCAGGGCCCGGCTCAAAATGGCTCTTTCCTATTGCAGTTGCCAGCGGCAGCGACGGGCAAGTGACAAGGACATGGCTCAGATCGGCCCCAAGAGGATCAGGTACCTGGGAAAGGGGAGGCGAGGGGCCAGGGAAGCTTCCAGGCTCTGAAAGGATTTGTTTAATTTTAGATTTTTTGGGTGGGAAAAAGGGAAGGTGGGTGAGGAGGAAGGAGCTAGGGGCAGATCCATATTCCAGAGCTTTTCCAAGCCTCCTCCTCGTCCTGACAAGGATTTTTCCCATGTTTTCTCTGTCAGGAAGGCAGCAAAGCGTGAGATCCTCCTGTGTGACTTTGAAGGCTGTGGCAAAATCTTCTCCAACCGCCAGTACCTGAATGTGAGCACCTGGAAGGACCAGTGCTTCCTGGAGCGCTGGGGAGCCTGGGTGGGGTGTCCTGGAACTGGAATTGGGAGCTGATAGGTTTTTTTTTTCCCCCTGGCAGCACCACCAGAAGTACCAACATGTGCACCAGAAAACCTTCACCTGCTCTGAGCCCACCTGTGGGAAGTCCTTCAACTTCAAGAAGCACCTGAAGGAACACGAGAAGCTGCACAGTGGTGAGTGGGGCGTTTCCATGGGAATCACACCTCCTGCCCTGTGGATTACACCTCCCTGACATCCCCCTATCAGAGTTACAACTCCCCTGTATGGATCCTGCGCTTCCTGTACGGATTCCACCTGCTCCCATTGGATTCACACCTCCTGTACCCCCTTCCCCACTGGGCCACAGCCAGCCACTCCCAAATTCCCACCCCTGGAAGCCATCACTTGGCACCCCTTATAATCTCCACCCCTATGCTGCAAAGTCTCCCTGCTCCCAAAGCACATCCCGAGGGCCCTGACAGTTTTTCCAGGCTGGATCAGCTGCGATCTCTTTTCTTTTGCTCCCAGACAAGCGGGATTACATCTGTGAGTTCTGTGCGCGCTCCTTCCGCACCAGCAGCAATTTGATCATCCACCGACGGATCCACACTGGGGAGAAGCCACTCCAGTAAGTGCCAGTGCCATCCCTGTCCTTCCAGTAAATCCCAGTCCCATTTCCAGCCCCTCAGTAAGTCCCAGTCCCATCCCCGAAGCTCTGCTCAGCCTCGGAGCCTCTTCCCACCCTTTTCAACCCAACATCAGCTCCTCAGCACATGGCATCCACCCAAAATCTGGGCTGGGATTTCTCAGAGAGTTTCTCCCCGTGGAGCTGGCTGTGCCCAGATCCAGCAGCTCCAGGCTCAGCTCCAGGGCAGTGTTTAAGCAGGCACGGGTTAACGATGTGGGACTCCTGCCCAACACATTCCTGCCAGGAGGGCGCTGGAGCTTCGGCCCACGGCACATCCTAGCCCTGAGCACGGCAGGGACGGTTCTGCCTGTGCCTCATCCCCGGGGGCTTTTTACTCCGCCAGGTGTGAGATCTGTGGCTTCACATGCCGCCAGAAAGCCTCCCTGAACTGGCACATGAGGAAACATGACGCCGACTCCTTCTACCAATTCCCGTGCGACGTCTGCGGGAAGAGGTTCGAAAAGCGGGACAACGTCACTGCCCACAAGAGCAAGAGCCACCCCAGGGGGCTCGAGAGACCCCCCCAGCCCCAGGGAATCCAGCAGCATCCGGAGCCCCCCGGGCCGATGGAACCTCTGGAGCTGCTTGCGGATGTCCTGGGGAGTGGGGGGGATACAGGGAGGAGCCCAGGGCAGTATGGGGGGCGGGATGTTGGGCAGGATCCAGGCACGCCCCAAGGCCGGGGGATGGGCGAGGGGGGGTCCTAGAGGGCTCGTCGGGGGACAATGCTGGACCCTGCGGCAGCTCCAGGTGCCAAAAATACATGGGAGAGGCAAACCTGGGAAAAATCCCCGTTTTTCTGCCAATCCCAGGGAAAATCCCATTTTTTCAGCCAAATCCCTGGTGCAAATCCTAGTTTTTCTGCCAAATCCCAGGCTTCCCTCAAGCCCAGCAGTTATTGCCACAGGTGGATCCTCAATAAAGACTTATTTTGGGTAAAAGTGGGATTTAGTGCCAAATTTTTATGGAAAAAGGATAGAAAAATGAGATTTGGGTGGTTTAGGAACACGAAAAGGAATTGGAGATGGGGTAGACACCCAAGAACTGGGGACCCAGACTGGGATGAGAGGGAGTGCCCAGCGGGGCTGTGCCCCAAAACTGGGAGCTCCCAGTACTTGAAACTTTTCCTTTAAACTTTATTTAATTTTCATTTATGACTTGGATTTAAACCAGAATTTGAACTTACAAATACTTGGAAACTCCAAGTTGGGACCATTTAGTGAATTGCAAGTGTCCCCCAAACCTCTCAGTGCTCTAGCCCAGCAGGCTGGGGACAAGGACATGTCTCTGTCTCCATTCCCTCCTGAGCAGGAGCAGCTTTTCCTCCTCCCCCAGCACCAAAAACCCCCAAATTATCGGGTTTTAGGTTTTTTTTTTTTTTTTGCACAGCAACTTTTATTTCCCCACTAACAGTGACAGGGCAAAGGACACGAACAGCAGCAGGGAGGGGCACAAGGGGAGTGGGCAAGCGCAAGATCACACCTGGAATACAGACCCCTCCAAAACCCCCCAGCCCGAGTTTGGGGTCACCCCAAATATCCACATCCCCTTGCTGGGATCCTGGAGGCAAAGAGGGACATGGGGGAGGAAATGGGGGAGATGGGGGTACGAGGAGGG